CCCAGGACCCTGGTATCATGACCTGAGCCAAAGGCCTCAGAGGCTTTAACCCACTGAGCCATCCAGGCGTCCCTGAAATGACTGACTTTTGAAATTAGGCATAGAAGGTAAGATTTATAGGGTACTGTGGGGTTTGGTTCTTTAATTAAGGCAGACAATACATGCAAATGTAAAAAGCTCTGAAAAGCTAGGTAACATTTAAATTCCCTGTAGATCTTTTTTAAGGGCTTGAATCAGTGGGTTTTATATTAGACTCAGTTACTTACAACAGTTTAATGAAGATTAAAAAGATTTAGATTTTTCTGGATATGTAAATTTTGTATCTTATCTAAATTTCAGTGAGAAAAATCTCTTCAGAATTTCCCATTGCACCGAATATACATGGAGAGCCTAGAAGTAAAAACAGGGCAGAATGGACGACGGGGTTATCCATTAGTCCTCAGCCAGGCGGGGAACCTCCACCAGCCTTTAGGAGAGGCAAGGCCTTACTAAGCTGGTGGGGCGGTAGGAATCAGCCAGAGCCACACAGGCCTCCAGTTCCTTTATTCGGTGAGGCTAGTGAGAAACTCAGCTGGACTGCCTTTTTTAGAAGAGGAAAGCATCTCCCTGACACCTCAGGATGCCTTCTATCCCCCCTTCCCCAAATGTTTGCCCGCATCCTCGGGGAGCAGCACCCCTCCGCTGCCTGCAAGGCCAAGCTGGCACGGGGAGCATACGGGATGCAGAGAATCTAGGCGGGCAAGGAACCGACATCCTCCGTTAGATGATCGATGATCCAGCAAAGCAGGGCTGCTGGTGGCGTGGGGGCATCAAATTTCACCTGTTGGGGGAGGCCCCATCGTGCCCCCTCCCACAAAGGGCTCCAGCCTCTGGCAGGAAGCGGCCCCTTAGGCCCGAGGATCCTAAACCCGGCGGCCAGAGTCTGGGCCCGCACCCACCTGTGGCACGGATCTCCAGTAGTAACCCAGGCAGAGGGTGGCGCCAAGACCTAAAAGCAGGGAGAAGGGCTCTGCCCAGGTGCCATTCTGCGGGCCCTGGGAGGAGCTCGGCATCTTGGGTGGTTGGGCCCTGATCCCCAAGTCCCTGACTGGGGGTCCAGCACCCGGCCCCGCCCGTTACACGCTGTAGCCCGGCGAGTGCAGGGTCGGCCTCCGCAGCGGGCGGGTGCGGAGGTCCAGAGCCCGCCCCCTGCCCCTGGGCCCTGCGGTAGGCGTGGTGAGGGCTGACGCCGGGCTGAGCCAAGTCACCTGCAAATGGCCTCCCCGCCCCGTAACCCAAGGGGAGCACGCCTGGACGCCTCCTGCTTCCGCCTCGCGGTCACCAGCGGCGCCGCCCCTTGCGAGGAGCCACGGCCTCCCCACAGCCGCCATCTTGGTGAGAGCTTCCTCCCGCGCCTGCTCCAGAGCCTGCCCGGCCGCGCGAGGTAGGCAGCCTGGGCGTGGTCCCAGTCACTGGCACCCAGGACACGGCCACTCCTGCGGTGACATCCTGTGACCTTCACACTCAGGACATGGCCACTCACCTTGTGACAACACTGCCGTCCCACCGTGTTCGGCCGTTCACAGTGGCCTTCCCATACTGGACACAACCATTACCGCTGTGACACCCCCCGCTGTCACTTAGGTCTCAGCTATTGAATGCATGTCATTCTACATAGAGTCACACACACACATAGGTTACAGTCACACAATGTCACTCTGTGCTGTCTCATCTAATCCCCATCAAGGAAGGGGGATGGATATGTACTCATCACCCACTTTGTACCAGGCACTTGGGAAACCCCGGGATGCGGTTCCCTGTCATTACTGGAATGTGGAAACAAGTATGTCATCTAACAGCAGTGGTTCTCAACCTTGACTGAAGATCAGAATCATCTGGGAGTTTTAAAAACTACCAGTGCCTATGCCTCGCCCCCTGCAATGTAGTTGGTCTGGAGAGGAGCCTCGGTGTTGATATAACTTTGTTCTCTGGAAGATTCAAATGTATAGTCAGGGTTGAACCCCTGCCATAGGGCACGGGGCTGCGTAAGGGAAGTAGAGCTGCAGTGAGAGCACTGAGGAGGGTGCCCAAACTCCGTGGGTCAGAGAAAGTGTACCCAGATGTTAAATGATGATACATTTAAGGTGAAACCAAAAAAACAAGTAGGAGCTTCCCAGGCAAAGGAGAGCTGGGGAGAGAAGAGTTCCAGGAGTGGAAACAGTGTAAGCGAAAGCCTGGATGTGAGAGACTTCTTAAAGGAATCAAAAGAAATGTGGTGTGTCTGGAGCATACGAGATGGTCAAGAATCAGAAAGTGAGCAGCTACACAAAGGATGTTAGAGTTTAAACTAAGGGTGGAGGAAAGCCATCAAAGAGTTTTACGAAGGGGTGGGCGACATGACTAGAACTGTGTTTTAGAATTCATTCAGGCAGCTTGGAGGATGGATTAGAGGAGGCTGAGAAAGCAAACAGGCCAGTTAGGCTGTTAAGAGAACTTTGGAATGGCAGGTGGCTGCCTGGCCTTGAGGAAGCTCCTAAGAGGAGTGAAGATCTTTAAGACAGGAGGCAGAATTGATAGGACCTGGTGGTAGACTGGAGGCTGGGGGAAAAGGAGAAATCATGAAGGACTCCCAGGTTTCTGACCGTATGACTCAGGGGTGCAAGGCTCTGCCAGTCCCTGTGACAGGGGACTGCGACAGAGCCAAGAGGAAGGAGGTTTGAGGAGAAAGGATTCGTTCTGACTGGACACATAGAGGTTAGTGTGCTGGTAGATGTTCTAGTTGTGTTTTCTTAGATTCTGTATTAGTCTACTTGGCAGCCGTGAATCACAGGGCCAAACAGCCAAAGTTGGCATCTCACCTGCAATCCAGAGCCCATACTCTGACCTGCCTCTTTAATCTAATTCTCACTCAATAAACTAATATTTCCCCTGTCCTAGATCAACCCAGGGTCAGGTATCTGATAACTAGGAATAGTTCCTATGTCCCAAGGCCTGCCTGACTGACTCCAACTAGCCAATTTTAAACTGTCTGCCTTGCCTTGCCTTTCCCATTTAGCAAAGGCCTTGGCCTAGGTCTTCCCCCTTGCTCCTTTCTGCCCTCTACACTGGTGCCTCTCCCTGCCGTCCTGTGTGGTGAGCTGTGCCTCTAGTTTCTAGGGGAACTGTAACATTAAATGTTTCAGTGGCATTGACTTCTCCATCACCTTTATAAATTAAAATCTAGGCACAAATTAGAGGATGTTCAATTCCCAAAGTGGTCTGGGGCTTGGAGATTGGAATTTGAGATTCGATAGTCATCAGCATTTAAATGATATATTAGTTTGCAGAGTTGCCATAACAAATTACTATACACTGGCTGTCTTAGACAACTGAAGTTTATTGTCTTACAGTTCTGGAGACTAGAAGTCCAAGGTTCAGAAAGATTGGTTCCTCCTGAGAGCTGGGAGGAAGCGTCTGTTCCATGCCTCTTCTCTAGCTTCCAGTGGTTTGTTGGCAATCTCTGGCCTTCTTTGGCATGTAGAAGCTTCATTCCCATCTCTGCCTGTGTCTTCACATGCTGGTCTCCCTGTACGAGTCTATGGACCCCAGTTATATTGGAGTAGCGTGAGCCAACATGACCTCATTTTCACTATTTCCACATAAACTCACATTCTGAGGTATTGGGGATTAGGATGATAACATAGGACTTTTTTTTTTTTTTTAGATTTTATTTATTTATTTGACAGAGAGACAGATCACAAGTATGCAGAGAGGTTAGGTGGGGGTTGGGGGGGGGGTGGGAAGCAGGCTCCCTGCTGAGCAGAGAGCCTGATGTGGGGCTTGATCCCAGGACCCTGGGATCATGACCTGAGCCGAAGGCAGAGGCTTTAACCCACTGAGCCACCCAGGCGCCCCAACAACGTAGGACTTTTTGAGAGACTCTGTTCCACCCATAACAGATAGTGATGGAAGCTACATGAACAGATGTACATATGAGCAGATGGGGAGTGAAGAGACCGCCCAGAGGAACTCGGGCACATAAAGAAAACGAAGAAGAAAATGCCAAGAGAAAGAATGGTGTTGCTGAAGCCAGCGGATACCATCATTCCAGGAGGTAGTATCTAGCAGTGTCCACTACAGGAAGGAGGACAGGGTGACCTTGATGAGGATCTGTGGTGATAGATGCTGATGGGAAGGAGCTGATGGAGAGGGAGAAGTGGAAGATTCTGGAGAGATAAGAAGTGATTCTTTTAAAGAACTAAGACCTTGGGCCAGTGGGTGAGGATGTAGTCTGAAGTGTAGTGGAACTGGTCACTGTGACAAAAGTAGGTGACACCATTTTGACCGCAAAGCTACATTCTGTCCTGGCAAATGACTGCCACCAACGCCCTTAAGATGATCCTTTTCCCAGCCCCTCCCCAGTCGAGTTTCACATGGAACCACTTCTCAGTGATGCACAGGGTCACAGCCACATGAGGACACCTTCTCTGGAAACCAGCAGTCACAGCTGTCACTTGAGCATCACAGACAACTCAGGACGGGTTCCACCAGATACCCTGACCCGTGTCCTAAGAATATCCTCTCCTGTCACACACCAGTCCTTCACACACTGGCCATACCCTCTCAAGGCCATCTTGTCTCTCTGGATACAGCGTCCCATAGGCCTACTGTCACAGGCACCTCATACACAAGGCCACAGCCAGGAGTCAAGGTCGCACCAACAGCTATACTTTGTCTTGTCCTGCACGTCTGGGGGCCAGCAGGCAGGGGCACGGGCGGCACCGCACAGTTAGACCTGCTTCTCATGAACACCAGCGTCACCATCTGCCTCTTCGTCTGTGTGTCTCTAAATGTCCGTCTCTCTCAGATCACGGAGATGCAGACACACACACACACACACACACACACACACACACACACACACACACACACACACACACGCTCGCACACGCGCGGGGACCGCGGGGAGGAAGCCCGGCGGGGCCCGCGGGGGGCTGCGGAGGGCGGCGGCCCTGCCCCCGGCCGCGCGGGCGCTGCGGACTCTGCCCGAGCCAGGGCGGCGGCGGGCCGGAGGGCGACGTGGAGCGGCCACGTGGAGCGGCCCGGGGGAGGGCCCGGCGGGGAGCCGAGGAGCGGCCGCCGCACAGCCTCTAGCCGCCGCGAAGCCGGAGCCCAGCCCTCGCCGCGCTCGCCGCAGGTGGGTCCGCGCTCCGCGTGCCCTGGCTGCGGGACACCGGGCTGGGCGGGCTGGGGGCCGCCGCCGCCGCCACCAAAGCCGGCGGGGGACGCGCGGGTCGCGGGGCGAGACCGCGGGGCCGGGGCGCCCTCCCGGCCTCTGGGTCCCCAGGCTGCAGGCGCAGCCCCTCTGCGTCCCCCCTGCGGCGTGGACGGGGTTGGAGCGGCGGCTCCCGCCTCGGGGCACTTCCCGGGAGGAGGTCCGGAGACCAGGGAAGATTCTCTGGAAAGCGAATCCCGAGCTCCCTAGGTGTGATGATGGGGTTCCACAGTTCCCCACCCGCGGTTCCCTCCGGTGTCTCCTTTGTCGCTCTGACATCCTGGGAGGGGGTTGGGGGCTGGCAGGAGTTTCATCGTCATTTGGCAGATGAAGAAAAGGGCGGGGGGCTGGAGAGGGGCCCCAGGTTATCACCCAGCTGGAAGTGGCAAGGTGAAGGCCGGCTCTCAGGTGTGGGGCCTTTTTTGGCTGTAGAACCGCTCTGTCTTCTTTTGGCGGGGGGCGTGTCCTGGGAGGGACGGGGCACCAGAGGGACAAGTCAAGTGTTAGGATTCAGTTCAAAATAACTTTCGGACAGTTAGACTCAGCCAGAAACGGAAAGGATGCCCTATGAGGGGCTGGACTCCTGACCTGAAAGTCAAGCGAGGGCTGATGGCCATTGACAGGGATGCTGTGGAAGAAAGTTTTGCCCTGGATGGAAGCTACCCAAGATCAAAGGCTCCTGCCACATCCTAGATTCTCTGGAAATATTCAGGTGCCAGTCATTTACCCTGCATTATCCTATGGCTTCTTCCCCAGGCTGTTACAAGGCAGGCACCGTTATCCCAGGCTCAGAGAGGTTAAGTCACTCGCCTGGATCACACTGTCAGGACCCAGAGGCAGGATTTGATCTCAGGTCTGACTCCAAGGCTGGGCTCTTCTCACCTGTGCTGGTGCAAAGGCCTGAAGAAATGTGAAACCTGAGAGTCATTGTGAATTTGAGTGTGTTCATGTGCGTGTGTGTGAAGGATGTGAAAAACTACAGAGCTACATCACGACCGTTAACTAAGAGCTGTGGCTTCCAGGTGGTCATGAGGGCAAATCACATTTGTGTGCTCTATAGTTGTAGGGAATGATTAGGAACACCTTTGACGGGCAGTGGTTCAAGAACGGCTTTTTTCCTGTTGCTTACAGAAGCTTTTGTAAATGCTGAGAAATGTCTTCAGCGTGAACAAATCACATTACACCAACCTCATGACATATTACTTGAGGTACCTTAGCTTGACTTCCTTTAAACAACAGATGTAGGCCATGCAGTTATTTAAGCTTGTGACATGAGCTATAACCAGAATGCTCGGGTTGTCAGGAGGGCCCAGGGCATTCCAGGTAGAGGGTGGAACAGCTTGGGCAAAAGCACTGGAAAGTGAAATCGAGAAGCACTTGCGTGTTGGGGGGCAGGGGGACTCCAGTAGCCCTTCTGTTTGAAGCCAAGTGTTGGTGTAATGGAGCACTGGAAGATGAATATAGAATGCTGACCTGACAGCTGATTGCAGAAGGCCTTGAACGCCAAGGTGAGGACTGTGGACTGTAACAGAAATAGGGAGTCTTTGAAGATTTTGGAGCCTTGGTGTTCTAGCTAAGGAAGATTAATGTGATGTGGATATGGAGGGTTCTTTTTTTTTTTAAGATTTTATTTATTTGACAGAGAGAGATCACAAGTAGGCGGAGAGTCAGGCAGAGAGGGGGGAAGCAGGCTCCCTGCTGAGCAGAAAGCCCAATGCGGGGCTCGATCCCAAGACCCTGAGATCATGACCTGAGCCGAAAGCAAAGGCTTTAACCCACTGAGCCACCCAGGCACCCCTCCTTTTTTGTTTAGATTTATGTATTTGAGAGAGAGAGAGAGAGTGTGTGTGTACAGGGGGAGGATCAGAGGAAGAGTGAAAAAGAGAATCTCAACCAGGCTCCTTGCTTAGGACATGGGGCTTGGTCTCCCCACCCCGAGATCACGACCTGAGCCAAAATCAAGAGTCAGATGCTTAACTCACTGAGCTACCCAGGTACCCCTGGAGGGTTCCTTAAATGGAGAAGATACTGGAGGCAAGGACAAGAGAGAGGCTACTACATTAATTTGTGCAAGTAATTTGTTACGCACTCCCTATCCATTGTAACTGGGAGAGGGGAGTACTGTTATCATCTCTTTGTGCAGATAAGGTAACTGAAGTTCAGTGAGGATAATTAATTCACCCAAGGTCGCAGGGACAGCCTGTGGTGGGGGCTGGTCCCAAAGTTCTGTTCTCAGTCCACTACACAAAAAAACCTTTTTTTTTTTTTTTAAGATTTTATTTATTTGACACAGAGAGAGATCACAAGTAGGCAGAGAGGCAGGCGGGGGGGCGGGGCGGGGTTTCAGGCTCCCTGCTGAGCAGAGAGCCCAATGTGGGGCTTGATCCCAGGACCCTGAGATCATGACCTGGGCTGAAGGCAGAGGCTTAACCCACTGAGCCACCCAGGCACCCCCTGAATTGTTACATACATGAAATGGATGCATAGGACCAAGAGGAGGAGGATAATAGTAATTCATGTGGATAGGGTTCAGGACCAGGTACGTACTTTCGGGGCCCTGGGCAAAAACAAGAGTAAGAATTTCAGGATGGTGGGCACCTGGCTGGTGACTCTTGATATCAAGGTCATGAGTTCAAGCCCCACACTGTGGGTGGAGCATACTTATTTAAAAATATAATAATTTCAGAATGGAGTCAGCAGAGCATTACGCTAAAGCCAAGGGCCGCTCTGAGAGGTGGGCCCCGTGTCACCACTGCCCAGGTCACACACAGTCCTGATTACTAAGACAACTTAACAAACCACCTCACAACTTAGTGGCTGGAAGCCAGAACGTTGACCTTGGTCATGAGCGTGCAGTCTGGGCCTGGCTGTGGAAACCAGTATATGTCTGCTCATTCCGTGTGGACTGGGGCAACTTGAAAGCTGGGAGTTGGAATCACCTGAAGGTTTGCCCTCTCACCTGGATGGTCTCGGGCTGGGGGAGATGAGAGCAGCCGAAGGCCGGATGGGCTGCAGCTCCTCAGGCCTCTGCGGTTTCCCCACACAGTCTTTCCAGCGTGGCGGCTTCGGGGACGCCAGACTTCTTCCGTGGCGGCTCAGGGCTCCACAGGGGCCTATGTGCGTGTGAGGAGACAGAGGGAGAGTGAAGCAGAACCAGGTACAAGCTATGGCACCTTTTATGACCCACACCTTTATTTCAGCTCTTCGTTCGAAGTGAGTGGCTAAATCCATATCGTATGTAAGGAAAGGCAAATTAGACTTGGTCCTTTGTGGGAAGGCAGGTCAAGGAATTTGTAGACCTGTTTTGCAAACCAGAACATTTGGCCTAAGGAGGGAGTAGATTAGTGGAATCTGAGGGGTGCTTCCCCTTTATGCCCGAATTGCTCCCACTGGACGGTCCTGAGAAGCCCGGATAATAGGTTTTGACAGCTCTGAGGGATTTAAATTACTCCAACGCCTCCTGTAGGCCCAGGTCCTGGTAGTAAACAGATGGGGTGAGGGTGCAGGAAACAATCTGAGGGCATCCAGGTGGGGAGACCAGGAGGGTGTGTGTGTGTGAAGCCACCGCAGAGCCAGCCAGAGAAACTTCTGGAGGGAAACGGGCGCATTTGTGTATAAGCAGGCACTGTGCAAAATGTGTAGGATGTGTACAATCAGGTGTCACTGAACCCTTACCGCACCCCATGAGGGGTGCTCTCGTCTGCCTCACATAGATGAACAGCCTAAAACACAGAAGCCTCGTGGTTCCAGAGCCAAGCCTGGGGTTCAGGCCGCCTGAGGTTGGGGCCCATACCCTTCCCTTCTAGACTGTGTGACCTCTTTCTCAGTAACTCTGTTTCCCTGTTTTTCCCTCAATCACTGTCTAACATCTGTATATTTTCTTATATATTTGCAAGCTTTAAGAAAAAAAAGGAGAAGTAATTCTACTTTATCATCTCACTTGCAAGATAGTGCCTCACACACAGTGGGTTCTTAATAAATAGGAAAGCAGCAAATAAATTTTATCTTTGTTCTACAAACTTATATTTCTATTTGCCTTCCCTGGAGATGCTCACCCTCTTGGTCTTCGGCCACAAAGGTCTTTGACATCTGTTGCAACCCAGGCTGTCTTCTGTGGTATCTAGTCCCAGGGTCTCTATTTGCCAGCATTCTCCTGGCTGCTTCTGGCCAGCGGGCCTTCTCAGCCATTACGTGCCTCTTCTTCTATCTTAGATACCTAAACTCTCAGCTGAGCCCAGCCTCCACTGCCCGGCCTCCCAAGAAACCCAGCAGCACTCTGCACATAAAGAACCAGGGCCCTCTGCCCCATTGACCTGTACCCTCCTACAGCCACTGCTTCCAGAATGCTCGGGCACCCCGTGGGCTGGAACTTCTCCCTGATCCTCCTGGCTCAGGCGCAGGCGTCTCAGTCTTGCATCTCCTCTCAGTCCCCAGAGGCTTTCTCTTGAGACTTCTGTCTTTCACCTCCTTGAGGCAGGCTGTGGTGAGCTCCCCCTCCCAAGAACCGAGGTAGTTTTGAACCCTACTAACAATCCCCTAGTCCTCTCTCACTTGTCCTGTTGTACTTGACTTACAGTGTCTTTCATGATACAGAAGTTTAAGCCTTTGATATTTTCACATCTATTTTTTCCTTTAAAAATTACAAGTCAGATCATGACCTGAGCCGAAGGCAGAGGCTCTAACCCACTGAGCCACCAAGGTGCTCCTGCAATATCATTTTTTAAAAAATCATTTGAGAGAGAGAGAGCAGAGAGAGAAGCAGACTCCCCACAGAGCTCAGAGCCCAAGCAGGGGGGTGGGGCAGGCCTTCCCCCCAATCCCAGGCCCTGAGACCCTGACCTGAGCTGAAACCAAGAGTCAGGTGCACAACCTACTGAGACACCCAGGCACTCTGCAATATTTATCATTTTTAATTGCTCTGTCCTTTAATATGCTTTGCTTAGCCATTGCCTAAATATTAGCCATTCCGGTTGATTATGTCTCTTTCACTAATATGAATGGCATGGTTATAAATATCTTTATAATTCTTTTTCCATTTGAGTTCCTCCCTCTGTAATCCTCAGGATGGTATCACTGGGTCAGTTTCATGGCAATTACCACACATTTCCAGATTGCTCTCTAGAAAGTGTCAGGTTTGTAATCCTTCAAACAACAAAGACTAATCCTCACTGATTTAATTTCTTTAATGGTTATAGGACTATTAAAATTTGCTATTTCTTCCTCCATCAGTTTTGCTATCAAACTTTTCTAGGAAATTAGCTCTGACCTCTAAGTTTCCAAATTTCTGCTATTTCCATAGTTATGTTCATTGCCAATGTTCATTGCCAATGTTCTTTCTTTGTGCCTTTTCTCTTTGTTCTTAATGTGTCAGAGGTTTGTCTATTTTATTAGTCCTTTTAAAGAAATACCATTGCCTGGCTTTTCTCGCTCTTCTCAGTCGTATTCCTAATCTCTACCATCTTTTGTTTTTTCTTTATTTTTTTAAAAGATTTTATTTATTTATATGACAGACAGAGATCTCAAGTAGGCAGAGAGGCAGGCAGAGAGAGAGGTGGAAGCAGGCTTCCTGTTGAGCAGAGAGTCCGATGCAGGGCTCGATCCCAGGACTCTGGGATCATGACCTGAGCTGAAGGCAAAGGCTTTAACTGAGCCACCCAGGCATTCCTCATTTCTTTAAGTTTATTCTGTCTTACTAGCTTATTGAGTTGGAAGCTTAACTCACGAACTTTTAGCACTTTCTTCTTAAAAGTCATGCTTTTAAGTCAATCCACTTTCCCTCTGATACTGCTCTGTCTACCCATCTTGTTTTCACGCATATTTTCCCAGTATTATCCAACTCTAAGTATTTAACAGTTTCCATTATGATTTTCTTCTCTGAACCACATGTAAGTATGCCTTTTAAATTTCCATATATGTGGGGTGCCTGGGTGGCTCAGTGGGTTAAGCCGCTGCCTTCAGCTCAGGTCATGATCTCAGGGTCCTGGGATCAAGTCCCGAACCAGGCTCTCTGCTCAGCAGGGAGCCTGCTTCCCTCCCTCTCTCTCTGCCTGCCTCTCTGTCTACTTGTGATCTCTCTCTGTCAATAAATAAAATCTTAAAAAATATATATATATTTCCATATATGTGAGATTTTTTGCATCATTTTTGTTGTTGGTTTCTATATAATTACATGTTAGTCATATAATATAGCGTGAGACAGAGTCTTTGTTATTCACTGAGCCATGTGCTCTGGCCCATTACTTGTCAGTTTTTATAAATATTCCACATGTATTGAGAAGAATATGTACTTGCTAGGGGATTGGTCTCTCATTTGTTCATTAGCTCAGGCATATTAAGTTTTTTATTCAACCTTCTACATTCTTACTCATTTTTAGTCTGGTTCATGCTTCAAATACTGGATGATGTCTATTAAATTCTCCCACCACGACGGCAGATTCGACTTTTCTCCTTGTAGTTCTGCTAGTTGTTTTTTTTTTCTTAAGATTTTATTTTTTTAGAGCAGTTTTATATTCACAGCAAAGTTGAGCGGGAGGTACAGAGATTTCCTGTATACCTCTGTGATCCCCCCTACATGCACTGCTCCCCCACGATCAACATCGCAGGCCAGACTGTGCATTCCAGACAACTGGAGGAACCCACACTGACACATCATCACTCAAAGTCCATAGTTTACATCAGGGTTCATTCTAGAACATTCTGTGGGTTTGGACAATTGTATAATGACATGTCTTGTCATTGTAGTATCATAAAGAGTAGTTTCACTGCCCTAAAATCTACTGTGCCCCACCTCTTCATCCTTCCACCCCAACCCATAGCAACCACTATTTTGACTGTCTCCACAGTTTTGCCTTTTCCAGAATGTCTTACCGTCGAAATCATACAGTGCATAGCCTTTTCAGATTGGCTTCTTTCACTTAGTAATATTGATTTAAATTCCTCTAGGGCTTTTCATGGCTTGCTAGCTCATTTTTTTTTAAGATTTTTTTTTTTAATTTATTTGACAGACAGAAATCACAAGTAGGCAGAGAAGCAGGCAGAGAGAGAGAGAGAGAGAGAGAGAGAGAGGAGGAAGCAGGTTCTCTGCTGAGCAGAGAGCCTGACGTGGGGCTCAATCCCAGGACCCTGGGATCCTGGCCTGAGCCGAAGGAAGAGACTTAACCCACGGAGCCACCCAGATGACCCTAGCTCATTTTTTTTTTTAAAAGAGTTTATTTATTTGAGAGAGAGGGAGCATGAGTAGGCAGGAGGGGCAGAGGAAGAGGGAGAAGCAGACTCCCCACTGATCAGGAAGCCCGATGTGGGGCTCAATCGCAGGACCTGGAGATCATAATCTGAGCCGAAGGCAGGCGCTTTAACCAACTGAGCCACCCAGCGCCCCAATAGCTCATTTCTTTTTAGCACTAACTAATATTCCATTGTCTCGGTATACCACATTTCCTTCCTTCCTTCCTTCTTTCCTCTCTGTCTCTCTCTTTCTTAAGATTTTATTTATTTGACAGAGAGAGATAGCAAGAGAGGGAACACAAACGGGGGGGAGTGGGAGAGGGAGAAGCAGGCTTCCTGCTAAGCAGGGAGCCCAGTGCGGGGCACGATCCCAGGACCCTGGGACCATGACATGAGCTGAAGGCAGGTGGTTAATGACTGAGCCCCCCAGGCAACCTACCACAGTTTATCTCTCCATCCACTATTGAAGGACATCTTGGTTGCTTTCCAGTTTTGGCAATTATGAATAAGGCTGCTATAAACATCTATGTGGGGGTGCCTGGGTGGCTCAGTGGGTTAAAGCCTCGGCCTTCAGCTCAGGTCATGATCCCAGGGTCCTGGGATCGAGCCCCACATCGGGCTCTCTGCTCTGCAGGGAGCCTGCTTCCTCCTCTCTCTCTCTGCCTACTTGAGATCTCTGTTTGTCAAATAAATAAATAAAATCTTTAAAAAAAAATCTATGTGTAGGTTTTTGTGTGGACATGATTTTTTAGCTCATTTCAATAAACATGAAGGAGTGGGATTGCTGAATTTGCTGGGTTGTATGGTAAGAATGCATTTAACTTCATACGAAACTGCTTACATGTCTTCCAAAGTGGCCTCACTGTTTTGCATTCCTACCAGCAATCAGAGTTCTTGCTGCTTCCCATCCTCTCCAGTGTTTGGTGTTGTCAG